AGCGCCGATGAGGCTAGCAGGGAGTAGGCGCAGCGGTCAGGGACGACCTGCAGGGCGGCGCCAAACCCCACGACCGAGGAGCCGCTCACGGAGCAAACGGCGCTCAGGACGCAGCTGAGGGACGGAAAACGGCGGAAAACAGCTCAGATTCAGACTCCCAGTGACACCACAGAGACTGTAAACCTGATCAGATCGGTTCTGATGGAATTCCATCTAGCCTGGATGTGGACTTCAGCTTCCTTACACTTACACACACACAAATACAGACTTCATGCATTCCTTGGACTCACCTTTTTCCCCTTCCTTCCAACCCACCCATCCCTCCCTCCCTATGTGTCCTCGATGTTGTGATTTGACTGTATCTGTGCTTTAGTGTACGAGGTGTTTTTTTAAATCACTGTTACGTCCCCTGTAGGGGGCGTGGCACTGGGCCTTTTTTTCCCTCTTCCCGCAACCGCTTTCCCAATGTATTCTTTTTGTTCTGAAGATTTGCCTTGGCGCCGAAAAAGGCCGCCACGGTGTTTTGGTGCAAAGCTGTGCACCAAACACCAAAGCAAATTCCTTGTATGTGAAAACCTACTTGGCAATAAACGTAATTCTGATTCTGATTCTGATTCTGAACATCTCTGCCTCTCTGTTCCAGGATCCTTCTTTTCTCTGTGACCTTTGACCCCTGGGCCTCATAGCAGACGCTATCTGACACTACTGTTTAAATCTAAAGGAAAACGCTTTCAGACGTTTGATCCAAACGGGCCAATGGGAGCAGGGCTGCTGTCCCATGTGACCTGAGAAAGGAGAGGATACTGTGTGGGATCCATTTAAATTGAGGAACATCTGAGTGGGGAATTCTGTAGAAAATCACTGAGAAACCAGCTTTTTAGGGCTTTACATGAAGGAAGTAATAAAAAATAAGCTATTTTAGGTATTTATATTCAGTAAAATCGCTGAAAAAAATCAGCTTTTTGAGGTCTTTAGATGAAGGAAAATCATATCAGCTTTTCTTACTTTTTTACTGTTTGAAATCCAAAGGAAACATGTAATTAAATCTATAAACAGACATTTCAAATCTAAAGATAAACCCACTGAGCCTCCATGAAGAAAAAGCACCTGAACCAGGACAGAGTCTAGTTCTTAGACTGATCAGAGACCTGGACCAGAACCAGAACCAGAACCAGAACCAGGTAGAAGCTTCTGAATCTCTGGAGGTTAAAGGTCTTTTGATTCTTAATGGACCTTTTTTTTGTTGTCTGTTTTTGGTTATTTTCTCTCCTTTTCTGGTCTTTTGCTCAACGTTTTCTTTTGTTTTCTGGAATTTTTTTGCAGTTTTGTGTCTTCTTTTGCCTTTTTGTGACCACTTTGTCCCCATTTCTCATCATAAACAGACATTTAAAATCTAAACATAAACCCACTGAGCCTCTATGGAGAAAAACTACCTGAACCAGTCTAGTTCTTAACCTGATCAGAGACCTGAACCAGAACCAGAACCAGAGAGAAGCTATTGCTTCTCAGGAGGTTTAATCTAATCTGTGTATAACGGAGGTCCGTGCAGAGGTCAGAGGTCAGAGGTCGCCCTCTGGAGGTGTGTCGGTACCTGCCCCCCCCCCGGCAGCGCTCCATTGGCCCGCAGTGGCTCTCCGCCGTGGCGACGCCGTTAGCATGGCAGGTCACGGTGGAGCAGGAGGTCGGGTCGGGCGCCGTGGTGTTGCTCTGGTAGACCCGGCCTGGGGGTCAGAGGTCAGGGGGGTTAGAGGGGTTAGAGGGGTCAGAGGGTTAGAGGGGTTAGAGGGTTAGAGGGGTTAGAGGGTTAGAGGGGTTAGAGGGTTAGAGGGGTTAGAGGGGTAAGAGGGTTAGAGGGTTAGAGGGTTTAGAGGGTTAGAGGGGTTAGAGGGTCAGAGGGGTTTTAGGTCTTTAGATGAAGGAAAATCACTGTTGTGTTCAAAGAGCTCAGAAATCTCAGCTTTTCCTGCTTTCTTACTGTTCAAATCTAAAGGAAAATGCTTTTAGACATTTAACACAAATCATGTTCTGATTGTGGAATCAAAATTGTGGAAATAAGTCATTTGGACCCTCAGAACCAAATGAATTAAATCTGTAAACAGACATTTTAAATCTAAAGATAAACCCACTGAGCCTCTAGGAAGAAAAACTACCTGAACCAGGACAAAGTCCGGTTCTGAACCTGATCAGAGACCTGGACCAGAACCAGAACCAGAACCAGGACCAGAACCAGAACCAGAACCAGAACCAGGT